AAAATGTATGTTAGATTTATTACTTTGTTCATTTTTATACAGACTATATTTATAAATAAAAATATTTTATATCTATTTATTATAATTATTAATCTTTAAAAATAAATTAGTCAAAAATGACTAATTTAATAGTTATTAGTGGCTGCTTTTTCACTTGTACCATGGTTAAACATGGAATACCATGGTATCCCAAAATTAAACAGCCAATTCTTATGTAAAATTGTCCCCTGAATCCGAAAATACAGTCAAAATTGTGAAAGTGGATCAGTTTTTGAGATATAGTCAATTCCATATTAAATATAAAATTGACTATATCTCAAAAACTTTTTTAATTTTTAAAAATTTAAAGTATCTCTAACGGTTTTTCTGACATCTATTTTATAATTAAAACTCTCTGAAATTTTAATTGTAAAAAAATGGTGTTAAAATGAAAATTTTAAAAAACTGTTTTAAGGTTTTAGTATTTTAATAGTGACTCCTTTAAATTCAAATATGTACATTATGTATATTAAATTAAATTCCACGATCAAGTGGGAAATGAGGTGATTTTACTCACTTGTTCAATGTACTAGTGCTTTTACAATTAAACTATATATTCCCGGTATTATTGTATACATATGTATATAAAATAGAGAAAAAAATAGGGTTAGTTAACAGTTAGGAAGTTATAGTATCTAAAAATAATTTTTGACGTAATCCTGATCTAATAACCGTTTGTTATGAAAACAAATTAAATAAGAAAGTTGAAAGTTTACAATTTTTTTGCATAGATATCCAATGATATACATATAAAAAAAATATTTTAAATTTTGGAAAGTGTAAACCAAGCTGTAAACAGTTTCTTGCCTTATTAAATTATAAATAATATAATTTTTAATAAAAGATCGCATTTTTGTTTATTTATTTATTTGGACCCCTAATACAACCTTAAAAAGCGAATTTTGAGTTTTTATTATTTCTATAGATTTGTAACTGTTAAAGGCTATTCCAGTGGTTTTCTTGTTACTATAACTTATAAAAACCACCACTGTATTTTAATATTAAAATGTATTTAATTTCTTTTCAAGCAAAAACACACAAAACATACTTGTAAAGTGGACATAGACAGTTTTTTGACAGTTAGGGAATTTTAAAGAGTTTAACGACGTTGTAGGACACATAGTTTTATAATGGTTTTGGAACTTTTATGTTTAAGTTAGGTTAAGACATTTTTGGACGGTTAGATAGTTTAAAAATAGTTTTTACGCCGTTTTTGAATAGTTTAGATTGTTATAATAAAATTCCAAAGAGTTAAAAGAAATGAATTAAAACATTAACAGTAAGTCTCACACAATATTTTATTAACTAACAAAAGGAATTTAAAGGCAATTTTATTTGAAATTTTATCTGACATCTGACAGCTGTCAAGTTTTTAACATCACTTTTTTCCAATTTAAACTTAAAGCCTTTTGACCAATAGTCGCACACAATATTTTATTCAACAACCACAATGAATTTAAAGCCATTTTGTATATATATTTTATCTGACAGCTGTCAATTAGTTTTAACCAGACTTTTTTTAAATTTAACTTAAATCTAACTTCAGCCACCGATTAAAATTAATAAATAAAATGGATGTTGAATAAAAAGTTTTTGTTTTGGGTATTTAATTAAAACAAATAAATGCAAATACAATTATATAAGCGATTTATTTAAAAATTGACAAAGCAAATTTAAAATGCAAATCATTAAATTTTAATAAAATAGTAAACATTTGTTATTTTAATTTAAAAGCGCCATATTTAGTATTTATTGAACTGAAAATTTCGGAACGGAAATAAAAAAAACTATTGCAAAAATGATGGTGACATTTGCAATAAAAATGTTACATTTTACCTAAATTTATTATTATGGATGGTATCATAATTTACGTTTCTTGAGGAATATCAAGTAATAATATAAATTTTCCTAAAACATAACTATAATTTATCACAGCGAATTAAAACTGTAATTTATACAAATATATAATACAGTGTCTATTTAAAAACTAGCAATGCTCTATTATAGACTTATAATAATTCTGGACCTAAAATATAAATCAAAAATTTACTAAAACTGTTTCTAGGATATGTGGGGGGAATATGACCACAAAAACCCAACTTAATTTGTTTTTAAATGGCAACCTCTTAAAAATTCCTATTTGACAAAAAAATACTTTTTAATAGTTTAATTTTTGAAAAATACACAAAATACTTTTAAAAATTGGATATTCCAATTTCTCGTTATAAATATTAAATTAAACCTTTAAATATCAAATTAAACCATTTTGTTGTCGTAAAAACATTAGTCATTAGTCATGAATCATTTTGAGCATTCAATTTAATAATCTAAAAATTGCAGTGTTTTATATATTGTTATACAATTTGTTTATTTATGCTTTTTGAGTTTATTATACTTTTGTTAGAATAACTTTGTCTTTTGCAAAAAACTCAACTCCGACCATAGTGGCGCTTACGCCCTTCTGAAATGACGCCCTCGATATACGAGGTGTGTTCAGAAAATAACGGGAATTGTTAAATTTCGCGGGTTCGGAGGGTCCGGTTGTCATAAAATTTTCTTTATTTTGTTGGTATACATGCCCCCGAAGTATGATAAAAACTTTAGCTGTTTTCGTTGTTTACTTTGTCTGTGACAGCCGCTAAGGTTAGACGTGTTTTATGAGCTCGGCGATTTTTCGTTCGTTAAAAGAAATGGATCAAAGAATTTGTATCCAATTTTGCTTAAAAAATGAAATAAATTCTGTGAAATGTTAACAAAGGCCTATAGTGAGTCTGCTATAAGTAAAACAAGAGTTTACAAGTGGTATAAGAGTTTCCAAGATGGCCGTGAAGACGTTGAAGATGACGAACGCCCCGAACGCACAAGCACATTAACAACCGATAAAAACATGAAAAAAGTGGAAGAAATGGTTATAAACCATCAGAGAAGTCGCTGATGATGTTGGTATATCGATTGGCTCATCCCATGAAATTTTTTCGAATGTTTTGTGTATGAAATGCGTGGCAGCAAAATTTGTTCTAAAATTGTTAAATTTTGAACAAAATTTTTGGCCAAAAACAATACTCTAATGATGCCCCAGCCTCCATATTCGCCAGACATGCGTCTGTCTGACTTTTTCCTATTCCCAAAAACAAAGAGAACCTTAAAGGGCCGTCGTTTTGCAAGCATAGAAGACATTAAAAGCGCATCGCTGAAAGAACTAAAGGCTATCCCAAAGATCGAGTTTTAGAAGTGTTTCGAGTATTGGAAGAAGAGCTGGCACATGTGCATAATATCCAATGGGGACTATTTTGAAGGCGACAACATTAATGTAGACGAATAAATAAATATATGTTTCAAAAATCGAAAATTCCCGATATTTTCTGAACACACCTCGTAATAAACGAAAAACGAAAATTGAAATAAATAATTATAAAAATTATTTTGGGTATTTTTCATAAATAATTTTGTAGTATTGTTAAATAGCAATTTTCCAATGAGGTATCACAAATTTAATTAAACTGTTGTCGCGAATGATTTTTTGCCAAAATATTTTTTTTTAACTTTTTCGTTAATTTTTGTATGTTAATAAGGTTTCATAAAAATACAAAGAGTACTTTTACGTTGAAAAGTATTCGATTCAATGAAAATATTTATCCTTTATTATAAGTATCGAAAGTCACTTTAAAATTCAATTAAAGTGAATAATGCCTAAACCTTAATTATTTGAAAAAAGTCCTTACAATTTATTTATTATTCAATTGTATTTAAAAAATATGTCCTCATCGTGAAAATTACATATTTAATGTAAAAAACTCCCAACATTTAAAATAAAAATTGCCACAAGGCCAGAAAAATCGCATTTTTTTAATTTGATTAAATTTTAAAGGGTCTTCAGTTACTTATAATAAAGAATAAATAGTTTCATTAAAAACTAAGAATTTTTTACAAAAAATAGTGGTGTATGTATTTTTTTAAAATAATATAAATCCAAAAAACGAAAAGTTAAAAAATAATGTCTTAGCTTTAGTAGGTCATTATTTGTATGTAGAGAATAACTCCATATTTTTGAAAAATCCATGGGTCACACCCCAAAAAAAAATTTATTTGGTAGAATGATGGGTCATAATATATACCGATAAATATTTGGAGAAGGAAATTACAGCACATTTGAATTTAGCGGAGATTAAAGTGGTTATCAAGCATTTCATAGTTTCGATCATTCAATTAGCTAATCTGCTACAATTACATTAATCTGTTTTATAGTGTTATTATAGTACATTATGTATCAAGTTTGATACATTTTAGACACGAATTTAATTTAATCACGAGGGAGCTTGCGAGCAAGCAATTAAATGAGTGGAGAAAAGTTTATATACGAGTCGCATACCATACTTTTTTTATTGTTATTATACAAAAATAATATAAATTAAATATTTGTATGGAGCGACAAATGTTTTAAAATGTTTTATTTGCACTTCACGGTAAAGTCTCCACCCAAAATTAAGTTAAATCTAGTTTACTGCCGGCGAAATTAAAAGGTCACTACAATGTTTATATAAACTTTTCAAATATTGGCGTTGAGAAACTATTTAATACTTTTATATTTTTGTATTAAAATAAAAAAAATAACCGGCACTTTATCTATTGTATGACATTTGACAAATGCAAACTAACTTAAAACTAACTTCAGGGGCCGAGGATGGCGCAGTGGGTTAAAGCTACAGAGCCGTAATCAATCTGCGCCACGGTACCGGGTTCGATTCCCGGTCACAGCCTTGGGTGTTGTGCTTGTTTTTCGAAGCATAAAAATATAAAATAATGAGCTGGCTAAATAGTCTAAAAGATTAAAAGTCAATAAACCTAAAAAAAAAAACTAACTTCAGCCTGTGACTAAAACGTATCAAGTATAAACTTATATAAATTTATGTTAGATGGGAAAAAGAATTTTAACCTTTTATTACCTACTTATTCTTTTACAGGAATTGGTTGTCAGTTCGCCAAATGAACGAAACTGGAGAGGGATCTTCATAGCTTTATTGGTTATAGTAGCCGTTCTAGGGCTAATTGTCTTCAGTATAGTGCTAGTATCGCCTCCGGAGGAAGGTCCTAGAACTAAAGGGATCAAACCTACTCTAGAAGATATATTTGTTAAGCTACCACCACCAGCCAGGTTTAATGGAACTTGGATATCAGGTAAGAAAATATAAATATCGGTTATTATTTCTTATTATAAAATTGAACGTTAAAAATAGCATTTTTAATAACCCAGATATTCTCTACCAGTATTAATAATTATTGTAACCTTTTTATTGTGTTAAAAAATAAAATCACAAGACCGTAAACACCCTGTATATATTTCTTAAGTGGATAATTCTATTTAGATAAAATGGATAACGTTTATCGAAAAGGAACCAAGCGCCAAAAACTTTTTCTGAGGTAAACAAAATTATTTGCAAAATTACTTATTTTAAATGCTGTTTAAAAATTAATAATGATTTGGGAACCCTCTCAATCCTTTAGAGAAAAGTTCCAAATAAAGATCAAGCTTTTGAGCATTATTAAAAATGAGTTATTTTACAAATAATTTTACTAAGCCCAGAAAAAGTTTTTGATATGGGTTATACAATTATTTTGTATTGAAAATTAGAGGCATATGCCACCTTTCGTTGTATTTAATGTAATTTGGTGTAAATTTATTTTAGATCAAGTAGGCCAAGTCAATCTGGGGACACACTGTATCTTTTATCATAAAATAATAGGAGACCTTTATTGTAGAACGTTTACTTTCTTATAAAAATACGTCCTGGTTTTTCTGTTGATTAGTTATAAAACTCTAAAGCAGCGACTTGTAACAAACTTCGTATAGAAACGAAACTCGGTTTCTGCCGTTATCGTTCCGAGTAACATAAAAAGATTAAAACATAATTAGTAACGGAACGATGAAAATCGTTTCCAACAAGTAACAGAAGAGTTATTTAAATAATAGCCCAATACCTCAGTATTAGTATATTATGTATACATTTTTATAAACGCCATTTTTGTTACGAACTTTAATTAGGCGAAGCTTGCGAGCAAGTGTTTAATAAAGACGAGTCTAAAGAAGTTTATAAAACGGGTTGTATACAACCCGTATATATACTCTCTTAAAATGAAATAGTCAAAATTCTATTATTTGAATTAGTACCAGCATTTTTTACTTTTAAATAGTTATTTTTTACTACTTAATTAGTTTAAGTTTGACTAATTTAAGATAAGTCACCATCTTTGACAAGTTAAATGCAAACCCATAGGCTCCATGGTTAAATCGCCCATAAAAACAAATAAAGATGTAAAAAGTTAAGCTCAAAACAGCAACATAAAAAATATATTCAACAAATATTATGAACAATATTTATAGACATAAAATTGATTTTTATAAAAGTGACTGATAGCGCATTGGTTATGACATCCGCTTGAGAAGCGACAGACACGAATTCAAACCCAGCCTGGGTCAGAAGTTTTTAAATTTAAATCTTCTAATTTGTCTATTTTATTCAGTAGAATTTGACTAATTATTAGTGACTGCTTTTTCGCTATGACAATTAGTCAAATATGACTTATAATTAGTTATTTTTGACTAATTCATTTTAAGAGAGTATACTATACTTTATCTATGAAAAACAGAAATAAGCATTTAAAGCCAATTTTAATTGTTAAATATTTGACATCTCACTTTTTCGCAATTTATAATATAACTAAGCCTGTGACTAAAACTCCACAAACTAACAGCTCGTCAATGTAGGAGTAGATAATGTATCAAATTTGATAAACGCCATTTTAGTCACGAACTTTAATTGGGCTCGAGCGAGCTTACGAGCGAGTGTTTAATTAGATGAGTGTCTAGAAAAGTTTATAAACGAGTTGCATCCTATACGTTTTCTACGACAAATACCTATAATTATCTAAAAATTATTTAAATTAAATATTTGTACTAATGAAGTCATATTTTACTAATTGTCATAGCGAAAAAGCAGTCACAAGCTATTCTCATAACTCATTCGGATATCAGCCGCTCTTATAAAAATCAATTTTATTTGTCAATAAATATTATTTTAAAGTTGAATATAATATTTGTGTTACTGTTTTGAGGTAAACTTTTTGCATCTTTATTTGTTTTTATGGGTCATTTGACCATGGAGCCTAGGTATATGCATTTAATTCAAATAATACTTTGTTGTTGGCCGCAAACGATTAAAGAAATTAGTTACTTTTAACTCTGAGAAATAGTCAAAGATGGTGACTAATCTTAAATTAGTGAAACTTTAACAAAATAAAGTAGTATAAAATAACTATTTAAAAGTGAAAACAACTATTTTATTAGTAAAAAATGCTGGTACTAATTCAAATAGTAGAATTTTGACTATTTCAAATTGTTCTGTGTAAATTGTAATGTATTCCTTGAAAATGGACTAACAACAGTTTTTCACAGTGAAAGTGAAGAAAATGTTTTATGGGAACTCCACCCAAAATTAAGTTAAATCTAGTTTACTGCCGGCGAAATTAAAATATCAGCAAAAATATTGGCGTTGATCAAAACGCCATAACTAACAACTTGTCAATGTGTATTGAAAAGGTCAGTTAGTGTCATTGAAACATGTACGATAATAGGCGTCTTAAAGGTGGGAGTAGAAAAAAATAATTTAACCAATATGAATTGTTTTTACAATGCCAATATACTTGACAGCTTAACAGCTGCTAGATAGACCACTAGGATTTTTTTGTCTTGACATTATGTTGAGCATTCTGTAAAAACTTTATAGTATATTATGTATCAAGTTTGATAAACGCCATTTTATACACGAATTTAATTTTGGCACGAGCGAGTGCTTAAGTTAATGAGTGTATAGAACAGTTTATAAACGAGGTGCATACTATACTTTTTCTACGACAAATACTTACTATTATCTTAAAATGATTTAAATCAAAAATTTGTATAGAGCGCCATCTATGAAACAACAGGGGAAACTGTCAAATGTCACATTTTTACATTTTATAAACAAAATTATAAAGGTTATAAATCGAAATGTATCTTAAAAATTGACAGTTTTTCACAGTCCGAGCCCGAATTTAAGTTTAGTTTACTGCCGGCGAAATTAAAAGGTCAGTACAATGTTCATATAAACTTGGCGTTGAGAAACTATTTAATATTTTTGTATTTTTGTATTGAGATAATAAAATAATTTTCACATTTAGTATTATTTTACAAGAAAGGCACTTTATTTTAACGATTGTATGACATTTGACAACTGTCAACTAACTTAAAACTAACTTCAGCCCGTGACTAAAAACCTGTTGCTAACTTCAGCCCGTGACTAAAGCGCCGTAAAGCCACAACTTGTCAATATGTATTTAAAAGGTCACTTAGTGTCATGGAAACATGTACGATAAAGGGCGTTTTAAAGGTGGAAGTAGACAAAATAATTTAAAGTTTTCTTACAGTTTCGTTAGTCAGTTACTGTTACTAGTTTCCTTTCAATATCCTGTGTTTCAGTAGTAGTTGAGCTACTGCGATTTTCGTTATAAACAGTTTTGAAAGTAATTTTGTTTCCGCTAAAACCGTTACCAAGATTTTGTTACCTTATACAAATTTCATTAAGTACTTACCTAGATATTTAAATATTGAGAATATTTCATATTCGAATTAAATCGAATTCTTCGATTCGTTTAATCTAGAATTATTCGTAAAATCGAATATTAGATTATTTCTCACCCGTTAATAACAAAGTTATATAATTTTAAATAGCAAAGGATTTTGTTAGCAGAAAATCAGAACCTTTCGCAAAACCTAATTATAATCCACAGTAGTTATTTGCATTCACGGTAAACTAAATTATTAAACAATGTGCAACGTAACGATATAAATTTGCGTAGAATAATGAAACATAACATTTTAGTTGGAGTGACAACCAAGAGTAATAAAAAGCTAATTGAAAATTTACCTGGAAAATTTTTCCATTAGGTATAGTTTTGGGATGCACAATGGCAGGTTTTTTAGGCAATTAAAAAAATTGAATTTTATCTCGGTTGTTGAATTGCAAATTTAACTACTAAAAGGTTTTACGCTTTATTAACTTTGTACTCTCATCGACATTTTGTAATTATTCTGACAGCATGCACTATTTAGTTTTTTAACAACGGAAACTTTTTACTAACACTTCTAACTCTATTGTTTTTTCGGTTGAAGTTCCCTATAAAACGTTTAATGCAAAAGTTGGGTATTCATTCTTATGCATTTTAGTTGTGATATCAAAAGCTAACAAAGCAAAGCTTTTTCTTTTTAATGAACTTCAAAGAGAGAAGTTTAGGTTTGCCGGCACGATGTAAGAAAATATTAAACGGGTAGTTAAAATTTAATAACCATTTTAATTAAACTTTTTACGATTTTTGTATTCATTTACAAGGATTGGAAACAATATTTATTAATAATTTAGAAATTTAAAAGTTTTAATAATTCCGGTTAGTCTATAGTTTTGTGTATTATCACAAAAACTACTTGTTAATTTTTTTATTCCTACATTATTTAGAACATTCGCTTAATTGTTTTAAATTAACTTTGTCTGTTTTTAAATTAGTTTTTGTATTTGTTTTTTATAAAAAAATGTATTTATCTCTAAAGTATTGTCTTTTTGTTTTCATTACTTGTAAGTCTTTAAATTTATTGGTAATTTTAATGTGATTTATTTAAATTATATTAAATTATACAGCTTTTTTGAACAAAATCCGGTTTGTGTGACATTAATTTTGTTTGTTCAAATATAACACTAAGTAAAATTATTATTCCATGTCCTATACCTTAAGTAAATAGTTTTCGAGTTAATTTTTTTCGTTAAAATTTTAGAAATGCGCGTCAATCAAAAATAGCCCATAACGTTTTTGTTATTAGGTTTAAAAATAAAAGGGTAGAATTAATAAAACCTTAAAACATTCTTTAAAAGATTTCATGTCAATTATTTAACATTACCTGAGAAAACACAGGGCAAATTAGTTAATAACTTTTTTATTTTAAAAGTAACACCTGGTATGTTTTTCCATAATCAAATAGTAAATTAAAAAACCTTTCGATTGATGTAACTATTCCCTATAATTAAAGTGAATATCTTTAGAGCAACAATGCCGACGGTGGACGAGTGGTTAGTGCTGCTGACTACAAAACG